GGAGGAAGAAAAGGTCTCTCTGTCTCTGTCTGTCTGCCTGTCTGTCTGTGTCTCTCTCATATCCAGTATCCTACTGGTTAGAGTGCAGGCTTAGGATGTGGGATTCCCAGATGCAAATCACTCTTCTGTCTCATTTGGAAAAGGAATCTGAATCCAGGTCTGCCACCTCCCAACTGGGCACTTCAACCACAGGGTTCTAAACTGCTTTGGGGTGAGTTTTTTATCTCTCCTGGGCCAGACAAGGACTCTGTACATGATCTGGGAGACCCAGGATCCAGCCCCTGCCCTCTTGAATACTTAAGCATTGTGTATCAAGAACAAATTCAAAGGAGAGACTTAGAGCAGTGGTCTCCAAAGTGGGGTGCATGAGACGATCCACTGGGGTGCGCGAAGAACTTCTACTTAGATGTATATATAAATATACATATATTGGGGTGCGTGCTCAAAAAATTTTTACTGATAGGGCTGCGCAATCAAAAAAAGTTTGGAGACCATTGACTTAGAGAAACTAACCCCAGACTGTCAGATTTCTGGTACCGGAGTTCTCTTGAGAGAATGCATATTTTGTGAATGCTGTCACAGTTAGGTGCTGTAAGGAGTGGGGCAACAGCTAAAATATAGGGTACCAGCACACAAGCACGTTATCATGAGCTAAAGGTAGGCAAAGCTTTACCAACATGTCGCCTGATCTGTGTTAGTGGCTTGTGTGCATGCTTTCACTCTGTGGTAAATGAAAGCCAAACTCACAGCAGTTTATCACACTTCCTCCAAGGACAAGTTGTAGCAGGTTTAGTTTTCACTTACCTGGGGGTAAAAGCAAGTACACAGGCAACTATTGCAGACCAGCTGATACACTGTAAAGCCATCCCTATTTTAATTCATAGCTTGTGCACTCATGTCCATAGGGACACTTTGGGTCAGTGGCTGTATGGTACTAAACAGATTTGTAGAGTAGCAGTTAGGTACTGCAGACTCTCTGTGTACCCCATGTCTTTTTGTTTGTGCTGCCAAGTGCTTAGCATGTTGGGTGCTGTAAAAACAATAATGCTTTTATTTGGACAAAACATTAAGAATTTCCCTTCATTTTGGACAGGCAGAGACAGTTCAGTTCCCAATCTTTACCACCAGCAGATAGTCACAGACCAATATTGTTGGTTCAGTACATTGGGATGGTACTTACTGCCACCTTCTTCTAATACTTCCCACTTTTTGTTTGTTTTATTGTCAGTTGAGAGAAATAAGCAGGAGACTTTTAGCCAAAGAAGTAGGGCAGTTGAGGGAATTCCCACGAGAGAAAAAGATTTGAGTTTCTTTTTGAGTTTTATTGCTCACTCTTCAGGAAGGCAAACATCCTAGTGGCTGCAGGAGCAATGGAGCAAACTCACTGGAGTCCTCCAGTGCTACTGGAGATCAAGTTCTGGTCAAATGAATCGGGGTCCCTTGCAAGGTCAGTTGAGCAGGCCCCATTAGGGCCTAATAGTCAAGCTGTGATACTTTCCCTCTGACTGGCCAGTATGTTTGATGGGTGAATAGTAAGAGGGACAGGAAAATAGTGGTGTGGTTAGAATAGGTGGGTTTGTTTGTAGAGAGAGTTAGCAAAAGAGGAATAATGGCTGGAAGTTTCTTGTTAAACAAGAAAAGAGAAATAGGCTGTAGGCTTCAGCTAGGGCTAGAATAAAGCGGGAGGTCTTTTGGAGAGGGAACTGCTGGGGAGGCCTACGTTTTGTCTGCAGTGGCTCTGGAGTAAATTTGTGGGTAGATATGATGGAGAGAAGACAGTGAGGGTGATACCATGCTTATTGCAAGTTTTAAGCAACATTTCTTATGTGATCTTGGGCGTTATGAGTTGTCTGTGAACCATCAAATCCAGGAGTCTTGTACACAGGCTGCTGGGTAAGAATGAGCATGGAACTTGTTTTGCCTCCTTATTAAAAAAAATATCCTGTCCCAAAAATATCCTGTCCCAAACTCAAAATAACAAAGAGTAAAAAGAATGTGGGAGTGATGTTGTAGGCATGATGGTCTAGGAAATGTGTGAGAAACAAGGATTTTTGTGGGTAATATCTTAACCAACTGCAAGTCAAAAGCATTGCATTCAATAGCTTATCTCAACCATGCAGTTGCTCCAACAAAAGATATCACTCACAGAAATCCTTTCCTCTTAAATGAGTAAAATAATTTTTAATAGTTCAAAGTAGGGTTAGCAAGCTGGTCAATTGACTAAATGTTTTTTGACTGGTCAAAGATTATAGCAATTTTACAAAAAATGTTTTTTGTAGTTTTCTTGACAGAAATACGACTTTTTTTTTATTGTTTCTTGACACATTTCTTAATGCAAAATTTGTAGCATAACTAGGGTAGGGTGACTGGGGCAGCTGCCCCAGGTGCCAATTATGTGTGTGGGGAGGATGGAAAAAAATGCTGTTGCTGCCCATTTGAAGTTGAAAAATAATTTCAGAGAAAAATGATGGGCACAATCCTAAAAACAAAGACATTCTTCTGTATAGAATGAAAGCCAGAGCTGTTTTTCAAGCTAACTTTTCTGATCTTAGTAGAAAAGGATCAGCCAGAAGAAGAAGCATGGACAGAGTATTTTAAAATATGGACTTGAAAACCCTGCATGCAGTTCTTCGTGACTTTTTTACAGTTTGAATTTTTTTAGGTCATGCCTCTCACTTCTGGAATCAGGAAATCTTACAAAACTGAGTTGCATTCTCGATGTAGTGCTGAAACTCCCTAAAAGTATGTGGAAAAATAATGTGGTGGAAATTGTTAAGCACTTTAGCAACCTGTTAGGTCTTAGAAATGTATCAGAAAGAGAATATATTCTGTATATGTTGCAGGTGTCCTTGTCTATTGTATTAAATTGCCTTCTGACTTAGTTGAGCCAGGCAGTATTCTACATTACAGTCCCATGTGTCTTTGCATATTTAAGAGCATAAAAACCTTGTCTGCCTATGCAAAGAACAGGCACTTACAGTTACTTCAGTGATTTGATGATTACGTGGGTGTGTGTAATATTTTTAGATAAGCGTTAAGATTGAATGATAAGATCAGAAGTTAATTTCTGGATGATTATGGTGTAACCTCATCCGCTATTCAGAGGCCTGAGGCTGATGATCGTGAGCCCTAGGGACTCTTTACACCTTACCTTGTAAGCCCCCAAAAAGTTAATTGGCTTAGTGGAGCAGTCACGCTTTAAGGCATGAAAAACTGTCTGACTGTCCTTCACCTGCACAACTGTGACTTGCCACTAGAGGCTTGGTGAACAGGGAAAAGAGCCAATGTTAAATGTTTCTTAGTGC